ATAATTGTTTGAAATGAAATATGTTTTCTTTAATTAATTAAATTGATCGTCCTGAAAAGGACGGTTGTTGTTCGAAAATTTCGAAAGAAATAGTGTTGTAAGATATAGTTTAAGCCTTCTTTTCTGTTTTCTTAGGCAAAAGTACAGCTTGGATGTTTGGTAATACACCACCTTGTGCGATTGTAACACCAGACAACAATTTGTTTAATTCTTCGTCATTACGGATGGCCAATTGTAAATGACGGGGTATGATTCTTGTCTTCTTATTATCGCGTGCTGCATTGCCAGCCAATTCAAGAACTTCAGCTGCCAAATATTCCATTACAGCAGCTAAGTAGACGGGAGCGCCGGCACCAACGCGTTCAGCATAATTGCCTTTACGCAACAATCGATGAATACGACCAACTGGAAATTGTAATCCAGCACGATTTGAGCGAGACTTTGCCTTGCCCTTAACTTTACCTCCTTTACCACGACCAGACATATTTCAATAGTATTTGATTGTTAAGTTGATCTACGTGATCTAAGTTGAAAACAGGCAAACACCAAGAATTTATACCTTTTTCATCCCCTAATGTGAAGAGAGAATTTCTTGAAATTTCTGTTTTAAAAATACTTAAATTCTGAGCGAGGGTAGTTCAAATTTGAGAATTCGAAAAATTGAAAATTTGAAAATTTACATTTGAAATCATGCCACCAAAAACTAGCGGAAAAGCGGTCAAGAAGGACGGAAAGGCTCAGAAGAATATAACTAAGAACGATAAGAAGAAGAAGCGCAGGAGGAAGGAAAGTTATGCTATTTACATTTATAAAGTATTGAAGCAAGTTCATCCTGATACTGGTATTTCATCCAAGGCTATGAGCATCATGAACAGCTTTGTGAATGATATATTCGAACGCATTGCTGCTGAAGCTTCACGTTTGGCCCACTATAACAAACGATCCACAATTACTAGTCGGGAAATTCAGACTGCAGTTCGCCTTTTACTTCCTGGAGAATTGGCTAAGCACGCAGTTAGTGAAGGTACTAAAGCCGTCACTAAGTATACCAGTTCCAAGTAAATTTCTTTGTATTGAACAATCAACATTAACTCCAACGGTCCTTTTCAGGGCCACAAAAATATTTAATTAAAGTCGATAATTGATCTTAAAATTATTAGTATAGACTTCACAAATAAAGAACATTCCTAAAACGATTGAAATAGTAAACTGCATTGAGTACTTGTATCGGAACAAAAAATATCATCAAAACCAAAAAATTAGAGAACTTAGTTCACTCTGATTATAGCATAGTTATTAGGTTTCAATTAAAATACAGAGAGTCACAATTCTCAAAGAAAAATTAACAATATGGTATATTCAAAAAAAACCTTACCTAATAATTTATTTAGAAATAATGATACCGAGGTATATGGTGTCATCACTGACCTATAACTATATATGTTAAACAAAATTGCAGTTTTTATCTATTGTCAGATAATAGAAGTCGGTTGGTTTCGTTATTATTAAGAATTGTTCTGACAGAGTTTATAATAGTTCAACAGAAGATCATCAAATTAGAACAGAGTATTTGTAAAATATTTGAGTTTTTAAATGTTTTGACAACTTTGACAAGACATCGTTAACAAATGAAAAGCTTTCCATTTCCAAATTTGATTCTAAATCGACAGGATTCGAAATATGAAAAATAAAGCCGTTTGAATTACTTACTTAAACCTCATCATCAAATTAGCATATTTACTCTTCTTCATGTATGCCTATAACTTTATATTATCCATGGTATTTGTGTTTTTTTTTTGGATGTAGCTCTTTAAACTATTAGATAGCTTCTCAAGTCAGTATATGCTGTTTCTGTTCTCACATTTACGTAATCTTTCAAAATTTTTTTTATTATAATCTATTTATCTATTAGATGAAATAAATTCAAAACTTTGTACTGTGTCCACTGGTCGATCTTAATCGAAAGCCACAGCGTGAAAAGTGAAACTTCATCTCTTTATAGTAATAAGAATTTAATACAAGTCCTTCAATTGTTATATTAAGTTAATAATTTGAACAAGCAACAAAGCAAAATAACTACTAAATTTCAATAACATCGGCGATCTTATGCCCAAACTCCACTTGGTCCCAAGTAATTACCCGTTATGATCTTGTGGTTAATACTAGTAACCAGGTGTGAAATTTAAATACAGTGTTACAAACATATATAAATACTATAAACGAAAAGTTAAATTACAAAGAATTTCGATTGCTTTTATTCATTTCGTCTGAGTATTATCAATTTGAATATGACTATTAACTATCTCTTTTCTTTAATTAATTTTGGTCCTGAAAAGGACCGATTTTTAAAAATTTTTTTAAAAGTGCTTCTTAAGCACGTTCTCCACGAATACGTCTCGCCAATTGAATATCTTTTGGCATAATGGTTACGCGTTTAGCATGAATAGCGCATAAGTTAGTGTCTTCAAAAAGTCCCACCAAGTATGCTTCGCTAGCTTCTTGCAGAGCCATTACAGCAGAACTCTGGAAACGTAAATCAGTTTTGAAATCCTGTGCAATTTCACGGACTAAACGCTGGAATGGCAGTTTGCGAATTAAGAGCTCTGTACTCTTTTGGTAGCGACGAATTTCACGCAAAGCTACAGTTCCCGGACGATAACGATGTGGTTTTTTTACACCGCCAGTTGCGGGCGCACTTTTGCGTGCGGCCTTAGTAGCCAATTGTTTACGTGGTGCCTTACCACCAGTCGATTTACGAGCAGTTTGCTTTGTACGAGCCATAATTAAACAAATTGTTAAATAAAATTTAATTTAACGAAAAAATGTTGAGAGAGTAAATTTCAAAACAAACTCTTATGATCCATCTCAACTGTTCACATGTTCAAACAGTCATTGTCCTTCATATCCTTCATATCCTTTACATTGTTTATTTCTACCCTAAATTATTTGAGTGCCTTTGAGTAATTTGTTGTATTTAAGCATTTTCACTCAAACCTTTTTCTATTGTTCATTTTTTCTATAAATACTGTGCGTATCTAGTGTGGAATTTATTTACTGTTTAAGTCTGAATAGACAAGTATTATCTGTACTAAAATTATAAACTCAAAATGACTGGTCGTGGTAAAGGTGGTAAAGGTTTGGGAAAAGGTGGTGCTAAGCGTCATCGCAAAGTTCTTCGTGATAACATCCAAGGTATCACGAAACCAGCTATTAGACGTTTGGCCCGCCGTGGTGGAGTTAAGCGTATTTCTGGTTTGATTTACGAAGAAACTCGTGGTGTATTGAAGGTATTTCTGGAAAATGTGATCCGTGATGCAGTTACATATACAGAACATGCCAAAAGGAAGACTGTTACAGCCATGGATGTTGTATATGCTTTGAAGAGACAAGGTCGTACCCTCTACGGTTTCGGAGGTTAAATAAATAATATTAGTTTAAAAATGCAATACTATTAACACTATATTGCCCAATGGTCCTTTTCAGGACCCGAATATTTTCATTTTTGAGATAAATAATTCATTTGAACACATACTTGACTGTAATTTATAGAAATATTTTTATCGACTTAAAATATTAAGATTTTAATACAAAAATTAATTGAAGTTGAATGTAAGTAAGAAAGTTTGGAAATTTTTCTTAGTTGGATTTTCAAGAAACATGTTTTAATGTAGGTATTCAAAATTATTCTTTTAATCAAACTAGTTTTAGACGTAGAAATATCTAAGAATTCACCAATTATTTATTAAATAGATATATCTCAATAAAAATAAATAAAGAAGTAAATATAACAAAGTTGTATGTAATATTTCCTTATAATTATTTCTTTTATGTCTTCGTATTTAAATAACGGTTAATTTTTAGTTTCAATAATTATAATAATTATACAAATAATTGTTTAAAATTTTTTTTCTGTACTGTCATTCTCAATACGATTTAGCATGACAACATTTAGCATGAAACAACATTGAAAACCGATATCTCATGAAATATGAAATACTATTGAAATACTATGAAATACTATTTATACCCCAATCACTTAATATTTAAATGTGTTCCTCAATTGAATTAAATTGTAAAAGAATTTGGAAATTAAGAGTATTTTGCAAGCATAATTTGTATTCTCCTTCTGTTTAGAATATATCAGTTTCCTACCACCCAGAATATAAGTTTCAAAGAAAGAAAGACATTTTTTTAATAACACACATGCTTTTAAAATTATATACCACATCTTATTGATTCGTTTGGTAGCCGATTAAATTATGGCGGGAAAATTTCTACCTACTGGTATGTGAACTAAAATACTTAAGGCTTGCATTGTTATACCATTCATTTTTTATTTAAATAAAATGTAACTGACAAAATTGCCAGTACAGTTCACACGCATACCAAGGACACTCAAGAACTATATTTACAATGCATACATATACTTCCAAGCCGAATGTGTGTGCGTAAAATTGAGTAAGAAACTATAAGCCGAAATGAAATGGAGATGGAACGTGAGTAATTTTCTTATGTGCATTTACGTGTTAATATATATGATATATTGTTTTAGCTCCATGCGAACAGTCTCAATATCCATGTTTTAGATCCTGTTAACAGCATTACTAACGACCTAATTCAGAATATTAATTTCGTGTCATAAAGTGATATGTGCAATGGTATACTGTGTCATGGACTGTTGACGTTCGAGACTATGTAACAACTAAAAAAACCACTGAGTACTATTTGTTTTTATTAACTTAATACATATTAGAATAGTTCAAGAACTGCGAAGCGTATTGACATGTTGATATGAAAGAACATACGTATTTCCTATTCTAAGGTATAAATATCACAACATTTAATATTATGGTTGCGAGACAATAATGACAAGTTTAGACATTATTAGCAATGCTGATAATTAAATTCATATTAGTTACTAGAAAATTGTTTCATTTTTCGTTATCTCTCTAATTATTATAAACTAATTTACACAACATGATGTACTCGTATTATACATGCAGTTAATTTTTCCTTCTTTCACTTCGATTTCATATTATAAGTTTTTACACAAAGTTCCTGGTATATTCCAAATCAGGAAAGAGGAGCTAATTTATATGCAGACAGGTGTGTGTACTATAATTAAATACTGATTTTTCCGTGAACAACAATTCAACGCTTAAATTACAACTTTCAACACTGGAACGAGCTAAGATACACGTAAATTGGCTGTTATTTAGGCTCAAATGAACACAAATGTAAAGTTACAAGGCAGAAACGGTAACACTTCAGTGAAGTTGAAGTTGTTTTTTTATTTCGTTCACAGCAATTTTTTATTACATAATTAAGTTTTCACCTGTGTTTATGAAAATTGAAAATTAAAAGTGATTATTTCATTGAATGTACTAAATACAATCTCCGCTAGAAATTTAAAAATATTTAATATTTTTTTAATATTCGACAGAAAATTCATATGCTACATAGAGCAACTTAAGATACACGCTACAAGGTATGACAAATAATTAAGAATTGTTTAATACATAAAAATTATGTGTGAATAAATAAAATATATATAAATTAATTTTTTATACTATTCAATATTTGATTCTAAATTTAAAATATTTTTTTGAATATATTACACGAACTTTAGTTTTCCTTAACACAATGTAGCGCAAATCTGTGGTCGTCTAAGATCGAAACTCTTATTTTTCTTGTGTCGAATTGTTTTTAATTAAAACAAATTCAATTTTATTATGCAACCTGTATTTATGATCAATCAAACATCTTACACGATCGGCAAAAGTACATGCAACTTTTATTGAAGTTTTATGTTTTCTGAAATTACTGAACACTAATTTTAAAAAATTTGCACTCTTATGAGTTCGCACCGAACTGCTAATAAATTCGGTTGGACTGTTTCAAAAAATTAATTTAATTTATTTATAATTGTTTTATATTCATTATACTAATTGCCTTACCGAATTTAAAATTTACTTGAATAAAATTTAATTGAAAGTAACAAATCGTTTGTGATGAGATAATCTTTAATATTCCCAGAATGTTACTAAAAATTTTGAAAGTTGTCTGTATTTTGTACAAAAACAAAATAGAAATTTACTTTAATTAATAATTAATTAATTGTAGTTTTGGGATTTTTTATGAGTATAATATGGTTTTCCAGAAGCGATAATGGTAAGACTTTGAAGATCATAGTCGTTTGTGGCTTCAACATTACTATATCTATAGGTTCAGCAGCTCATTTAGTCATGCTTGCGAGAAAATAATATTTTATATACTAATTTTAATGTTAGGTTATCTAGTTATATTGAAATAAATATTTCAAATGTCTTAAAAGTGCTCTATGGCTTTTGTACACATAATAACGAATTTAGGATAATATCAGCGAACTGGTTTTTTATATATTTTTTTTACTATTTTTGGTTTCAACGTAATAAAAATGCCCTTATTGGCAATTACACTAAAATTACTACACATTCATTCAGTTTTAAAATTAGCTTACGGCTTTTCTATATGGTCTAGTGAGGACTAATGCACTTACTTTTTACATATTTTTTAATTTTTCTGTTTTTAACTCAATATGAATGCCCTTTCATATTTCACAAGAATCATGATGTGCTTATCATTTTTTTTTAAACTTGTAATATTCTTCAATTAGGATTTTCACAACTCATCAGTATGCTAAAAGATCTACAAAATGGCATGTACTTGCCGCTAGGTGGTGTCACTGTATATATAAAAATGTTCACAAAATATAATTACTTTATTATTGAATAAGTTCTGAAAGATCAGAAACGTTTTAACTTTCGAAGTTAACTTTTTTTTCCATTAAAATTAAAAAAAGTGAAAAATTTTTCCAAGAATTATACATTTAACTAAAATTTGTATATATTCATTTTTGTGTCATTTTTGAAATACTGATGCAATTGTGTCGGCCAAAAGATAAATCATGCTTTTAGGCATGATTAAGTTAAGTTAATACTATGTAAAAAAATTAAAGAAGACGAAATAACGAACATGGCATTCAGATGCCCATAACGCTTCCTTATATTTGAGGATTTGTAAGGGGCGAATGAAATGACTTCCCTATTCATTGTTAAGAGGTAATTTAAGTGAGTTAAGGTCTCACGCAATATAAAGCTGTAGATAACTGCATATTGTTGTTACAAATGCAATTGTACTGACTTAGCCTTTCGAAGATTAGTACGTGCAGATTTAGTAATCTATAATGTGGATAAATTAAAAATAATAGTTTATTATACGAATTATCACTGCGCCAACGTAAAAAATAAAAATAAAATTTATTTTTATTAAAACATAGTTATTCTATAATATATTAAAACTTCTTTAAATGTGCAAAATTATGATTAATAAATTTGAAATTAAATTTTGATCTACTTTTAAATTTTACATTTAAATTAAAAACATTAATTTATTAGTCATACTTGTTTTACTATTTAGCTTAGTGCTAGAACGAATTTTATTTAATCAAAATCTAATTGAAGTAGAAAAACAAATTACCAACATTGAAATGCCTATAAAGTCTTATCGAGCTTATAAATGTGTTTCAATTTATCTGACAAATGCCAAAACATATGCCACTTTTATAGATGAACAACAGCAGCAGAAAAGGTGCGGTCATTACCATAACTCAAATAATCCGAGATAGTCCAATTGATAGATAGATGGATTAATATGTAAGCGGCATTATGGACTAACAAATAGGCTGACAGACGGAAAGATACACTGTCAAGTTGATTGTGTGGCAGTGGCAATGATTAAGATATAAAGACACAACTATGAATTGACGTACAACTTAATCACTGCCAGGCATGAAGTCAGATAGATAAGCAGTGAGCACTAAGCATTACCGGCTCAATGAAAAATCTTCATACCCAAATGTTATTATGCTTGCGAAATTCGCCACAATCACCATTACATTTACAAATTTAGATATCAGATTGAAGTGAGCAAAACCACAACGAAAAAAAAAAATTAAATTATATTGAAAATTATATGAAACAATTGTTACTGCCGCTGCTGCTGCTGCTACTGCTACAGCAACTGTTGCTGTTTCTGTGTGCTGATTGAAAAATCCGTTACAGTTGAATGCACCATTTGAACTTTTGTATATTATTCGGCATTTAAACATTCACCATTCCTTTTTGATCTTAGCTTAACTTTAATTGTGATATTTGTAGTTCTTCGTATACATACTGGCATTCCCTTAATGTTGGGAGATCAGTCTGGATATAAAAATGAAGGTGAAAAAAATAAATTAATTGCCAATATTATTCACAATTCAGATAATTTTTTTAAGAAAATTTTTACACTTAGAAACATCAAGTCTATAAAGCATAACAAAACATATATTATATTATACATTTTAATTAAGGCAAAATCTTCAAATTTAGAGAAAGAAAATTTATCTAAACATTTAATAAAAGGTTTCGACAATTCCATTTACTATTACAGAAATAATAAATATTATCTATAACAAAACCAATTTCTGTAACTTCATCACAAACTCCTACAATTATGAATGCCAAGCAACGCTTTGCCACCTCTCTGCATATTTTATGGATGCTTTCTTAGGCATAGGCATTTATCACTAATGAGATCTGAATGTGGTTTGTGCTTTTACATACGTTCTCCATGTCGACTCATTGTCTCTGGCCTTCTTGGCTTGTCTCTGCAGGAGTTCTCGGATTACATTTATTATTTTGTTGCTGCGACTGGAGCATAAAAGCTTGTTAGCAAAAGGCAATTTAATTTACGCAAATATTGCAACACATAAAATCGTTAACTCATATATTGTCTAAAACTGCCATTAAGCCTAATTCATACTGAGTGGCTTGCTATTCTATTAAGATTCTTATCATAAATGATTTTTTGCAATCCATTTTTCCTTTCTATGAACTCACATTGGCTGCAAGACTTAAAAGACTGTAACTTTAACTTTGGGTTGGGCTAAGTCATTTCGATCTGCTGCAATTGTAAAGTCGGATACAAAAATGGCTCAAATTCTATATAATTTTTTTATTTTATTTGAGCTATTAATTATGGTATATACGAGTAAAAATCGTATATTCTCTTTTATCACTTCAATCAAATCAAATTATTTTTTATTATTTAATAAAATGAACTTGATTAATTAATACGCTTTAAATGATTGTATATATGGAGTAATATTAGTGAAAAATTAATAGTAATTGACTGAAGCAAACAACTGTAATATCACATTTTAGAGATTGAAAACACTTACCTAACTTAATTATTAAAATGTTTTATTATTTATTTTAAACGTAATTTTAAGATAACTTATATAGATAATATATTGATTATAAGATAAAATTTTTGATCACTTATTCTTAATTAAGCATTTGAATTAAAATCATAATACCAGTGTTGGTATATAAATTTGTAATAATAAATATTACGGAAGTAAATATAAGACAACTGCAAAGTTCATTATATACGTTGATACATTTAAATTCATCATCAAATTATAAATTGCATTATTATAAATTAAGCTTAGAAAGAATGACGAATCTCTATAATTTGACGTTTTGAGTACTCAAAAACAATTTTGTTTGTGCTGACGTTTGTGAGCCCGCATTCTCGTGGTGGAGTATAATTTTCCTTCGACGGTTGGCTTTGGTCAATTATCCAAAGACTTCCGGTAAACAAATGGTTGTATACCACCGTTCTATGTTGTACAAGTGGTACAGTTGCAACATTACCGGCTTTTCTGAAAAACATGTGACCATTTGGATTTACTCCGTTCGCGGACTTTTGCTAGTTTCTACTCACTGGAAGATCGAAATAGTGGATTGTTCTTTTATTTCGAGCTCATAGCATTCATTCATCATTCGACACCTATCGCGTCATATACGTGTTTTACCTGAATAGGATAAATACTTAAGCTAAATACTAAAGCTATACTCAAACACTGCTATTTAATTAGGATTAATAAATGATAACACTTCATTTTAAGTATGGTACATTGTTAATAGCCTAATTAGTTTGTTAGTTGTACTTATCTGTTATACTTAACGTGAAGTGTTGTATTGTGGCATAACAAACTTATATATTAAATGGAATATATAACTAAATGTCACCATCTTTTATTTCCAAATAATATATACCCATAACTTGTTCAATGTCTAATGGATCACCGATTTTAGCATTAACAGCTAATTCATTACAATCGCTTTTTTCTACAATATTTTCAAACGACATGCATTTATAATATGGTCCAAGTGGGTAACCTCCTACGGCTGCTGCATAAAGTGCCGGTGCTTTTTCATGAGAACAATAATCAATATCACCTTCATTGCAACCTGGTAGTTTTCTCCCCCAGTTGGGATAAAAAGAAACATTTCCAATAGGCATTAATGTGCCCCTGAAGGTTGTAACATGTAGTGTTTCAACATACTTAGCATCAGTGGCTTCTAAATGCGTGCCAGGAATATTATAAGTAATAAGAGGACGTGTAGCATCCAATCCAACAATACCGGCTATTTTTCCACGTTTCACATATTTCCCAGTAAAACCTGCCACATGTGCACCCATACTATGCCCAATCAGTATGACTTCATCAAAATCAAGTTTAAACTTTACATTTAAATAATCAACTAATTTTGCTATTTCCTCTCCTATTCTGGGTAATAATTTAATTACCACAGGATAGTCTAGTCTTGAATAATAGGTCCAATTAACTTCAATAAAGTTTAAGTTGTTAATCCCCAAATATGCGTCTCGCACAACATAAGTATATCTTTTGTCAAAATCTGGGATCCACCCATGTATCATAATCCTACAATATAGATAATATAGATTATAATAAAGATATACTTCTAAAAGGATTTTAACTTACTTTGTTCTGAGTCGTGTGTTGTAATTTGACTTTTTGATGGAAAAATAATCATACAATTTTATGACTTGAGGATTTTTTGGATTGGAGCTAGTATACAGATCATATATGATGTGCTTTGTAAACTCTGTTTTCTGGGTTAATGTGAATTCTGTGAAAGTCAGATTAAAACTTTGATTTAGAAACATTTTTAAATTTTCTTACCGAGAAACACGAATTGTATGCAAAAATAAACTCCAAACAGCTTCATGACAAAATAAAATTAAATTGTATTAACGAACTAAATGAGTACTATTTATATGAAACTGGTGCGATGATAATTTTTATATAATCACTTAATTAATGAAAAATTATTACTTATAGTTAGTATTTTTATTCGCATAAATAAAATTTATGCGTACCATAACAATGATAATTATAATGTAAATACCATGCTCCCATTTTAAAAAATATGCTAATTTTAGTTCAATGAATAGGCAATTATCTAGGTACCACGAACAGAAAAAAGTGGGCTTATTAAGAATATTTCAGAATTATAATAATATATTCCGTTTAATATGTTTGAAAATAATCATGTAAAAAATTTGTAATTAATTAACAGTTTTGTTAGCGCTGCCAAAAGTTTGTCATAAAAGAAAAAGGAACTTAGTCATTAGTCCAACCTTAATATTTAAGTTTGATATGACAGTTATGGGATATGGGAGTTCTATTTCGGCCAAGGCGACAAATGATCAAGGTCTATTTCAAAAAGCATACATGCAAACTCAAAAACAATAAAAACAAATTTGGAATATGGAAGAGATTAGTTTATTTTATCTATAGCGTCCATAAAAAACCATTGCAGGATATGTTTTTATTATAAATAAGTCTGTACATGGAATTTCATGTTGAAAATAATCTAACTGAAAAGGAATGTTATATGTAAATACCGAAGATGTGTGTAATAATTATAGACGCAACCAAATTCATTAAAAACCCTTTATAGGTAATTTAAAGTATATATAGCTCACGGCTTACCAGAATTTTTATAAGACAGTTTATTATCTTTACAACTCTAAACTTGAACTGTAGGAAGTAAATAAGTACGCGTGAGAAAAACATGCAGTTTATCTTTTTTTTCGTTATATCCTAAAAACTGTTACATAAAAAACTATTTTTAATCAAATAGCCACTTATGGTGTTTTGTTTGGTTTCAATTTAGATTTACTCTTTATCAAATTTTGGTGTCCAATCGAATATTTTTAGATTAATCTAACAGTCTTTAGTCGTGTGAGTAGCCATTTATATTTTTTACAAATACATATAATATATCTGATAATATATCTGAAATATTTCTATTATATTTCTATAATATATATATGTATATATATATTATATTTCTCTTGAAAAATAATATATCTAATTTAAAATTTTAAAATATTTAAAATTTCAATATCAAAGCGAAATTTATTTATCAATTCTTGTTGTCACTTTAAGTCGTTTTAAAACACGTTCCCGGTACATTTTCTTCAGTTGTTTATAATATTGAATTGTTTATAATATAAGCATCTGAGTGGCTTTTTTGTTTTCCTCAAATTTTTAAATCTTTTTTGCCATAAATGAAGTTTTCGCAAATATTTTCGTAGACAAGTATAAGGAACTTAACCAATTCAAGCGAACTGCATAATGTTTCTTTAATTTGGGTCCAATAGTATCGAAATATAGAGATTTACCCACAAATAGGTGGATAAACTGGAGAGAAAGGCATTTATCAATCAAAAATTCTGGTGGAACCAGTGTGTAAGCCACTAAACATAGTCAATAAGTCACTTAAACTAAATATATCCAAATAGCGGGTTGCAGATGGAAAAGTCTTTTAACGTGCAAGACGAGTAGGTTACTTTGTCTTGAATATAAATGGAAGCAAACAATAGAAATAGAAGAAATGTTTCCAGAGTTGCTGGAGTAATCACTATCTTCTGCCTGTAGGAAAGCAGGTTGCCAAAATAGGAATCCTTCACAATATTGGTGTCCAACTATCACAGCCGCAGTCAACCGGAGGAAAAGAAAATTGTTTTTTGCATTTTTTGTATTTATCATGACATTTGAAGAAAGAGAACAGCTACGTTAGGCAAACTGTTCTTCTACAATTGGGAAGTGCTAACGGGAGTTAATATAAAAAAACTACAGCAATTGCTCAAACAACTGTAAAATTTGTTGGTAATAAAGATGTGGTAACAATACGATACGAAAGTGCTAATCGCACTTCAGCTAACCAAACAAACAACATAGTCTATTACAAGCTTAAGCCGTCTATTAGAAGCTTAGTTTTAGAAGACTTGTGTCCATAATATGTTTGCAAGAACTATCTGATAAGTTAGGAGCTACCTCTTCTATTTAGATGAGTTTTTGTTTCCAAACGTGATAATACTTGTACAAGTTGCGAGTATTAAAGATGCAACTGAACCTATGGAGGCATGAATTTAGTATAAATGCTTAACAAATGCAGAAATATTGAAGGAGGAGACCAATAGAGTCAGTATTGAAATCCTTAAGAATCATAGCAAAAACACGAAAATTCCTAGCTAGTATAGAACTAAAGTTCCATAAAATGGATCTTCCTTGCTTTTGTGTCCAAAATCATTTTATTTTGTAGTATTTGGAATTAAATAGAAGATGAACTGTTCGCCTAAATAAAAAATATTCTTTAAATTTAAAAAAATGATTTTCTTCAATATATATATGCTCTTAAGATTTAGATTAAAAAATATTTAAAAAATAAAAATGTTATTACCATTTGAAAAAGCCTAAATGCGAGTAATAAATTGTAAATATTTTTGAAGTTCAGCAACATTTGATGGAGTGCAATTGTAACAATCCAGCAAATTTCAACGAAATGAACATGTCGGGAAAAGTGTTAAATAATTTAGCGTTCATTAACGTAACAAAAACGAAAAGAAAAACAATGCAATAATCTGGATATAAAAATTACATCCAAATTGCTGCAAAATTGAGGCAAAATGCGAATTTCACAGACATGAATCGTAATTTGAATGGAAAGGATTGAGAGTAAATTGAAAATAAAATTTTTATTAAATCATCGCTGCGAATTAAACTTGTATTAATTATGTTTTGTTGTTAGCAGATAACCCCGTACCACTTGTATCTGCCAGATTACCAAGGAGCGCGTTGCAAGATGCAGCAAATCAGCAGTTTAGCAAAAACAAATCAAATTGTTTTATTGCATGGCAGGCCATGTTTCATGTTTCGGATTGCTGCCAAGGAAAGTGCTAAAAAGTAAAATGTCTGCAAAACTTATTGAAATGCAAATTTATGCATAGAAAAACACATTTTTTATGGTTTTAAAATTTAATTAAATTTTTAATAGAAACATTTTTTATTTTGCATTTTATTACGGCCAGCAATCGATGTAAAACACTTTCATGTACTCGTATGCAGCGAATTGCAATTGCTTCAAAGCCAATTTGATGTGCTGATGCTGAAGCTGATGTTGATGCAGATGCCGTGATAACTTTCATTGATGATTGGACATTTCATCCACATTAGCTCATTTCGAATGATGACTGCTAGTGGTAGGCCTTCGTTGAGTAATGTTTGCCTGCCAGTGGCTTGATCCGCTTTTTATCAGTACAAATTGAGGCCTGTTAATGCGCGCATTTGCAAATTTGATACGATTTACTTGCAATGAAATTAATTTACAGTGCATTATAAACACATTTTTCTTTTTTTCAATATATAGCATTTCTAACTAATCAAAGAGTAAAAATCATAATAAAGTTAAATCATTTATTTTAATTTACATTCATTAAATTATATCTTATCTAATCTATCTACTAATCTTATATTGTAAAGATAAGGTAATTTTCAAACAGCACTTTATAGCTTCAAAAAAAATTGAACTAAATAAATAAGTTAATTAATTTGTCAGATAACTACCAAAATATTGATCTCAATACACTGCACAGATAATTCTAAATTACATTTTAATTAAAAAAATTTATAAAAAAAGTATTAGAAATAAATCAGGTCATCTATTTGAAAAATAAAGTCTGAGTTTATATATTCAGACTTCATATATATTTGGAGAAATTTGATCAAAAAACACACTTATTCACTAAAATTGTTTGGTTAAAATCAGGATTCAATGAAACAACAATCAATATATAATCAATATATAATAAAAATAATATTAATAAAATAATATAGTATATAAACTTGAGAAAGTTATAGACACCAACGTACTCAATAACATACAATTCTTTTGAAAACTGCAAGCATATCTTCGTGCAAAGAGTTAGGTATAAAGTACGATAAATATAAATAAATAGTTGATACCTCAGTCTGAAAAAGAAATGAAATGTATGAGAAAGATCATATTTTCAATATAACCAATAAAAAGAAGTGCTAAAAACTCTAACGGAAAGAAATTTTTATTTGTAGAAAACGCCGATATCGATGCTAAGGGACTACTGCATAATACAGAGGCATGCTATGAGATTTGGTCTTCCCTATAATGACCTTTGTCGTATCTGTAGCTCTGAAAACGAGGAGGAAACTGTGTTTCATCTCATTGATCAGTGCACATTTTTAGCTAGGAGAAGACCAAAAATCTTGGAGGCCCTTTACTTACTGATCTAACTGAGCTGTCATCCTGCAATATTAGGGACTTAGCCAGATTCATAAAACTGTCAGCTTGCCTTACTTTTACGTATTAGGGGAGTCGTTGCATTTTTTGGCATTGGTCGTATATTGATCTTCTAGTCTATGTACAAACCAATGCTATTCATGTGGTAAGACAATGGGCCATTATTTAAGCTTTCTTAGATTGAAGGCTGCCACTCTAACCTAACCTAGACACAAAGATAAGTAGGTAGTTTATAAAATACTGAAAGAAGATATGGAATAAAATATTCCATAATATCCCAATATTGATATTGGGTCTAGCTTTACATTACCAGCACTTTTCTGATGTTAAGTTTATTGCGCTATCGGTTTTATATGCGAATTATAATGTGTATTAAGACTCCATGAACGGTTTTAGTTGAAAATGTAGTTGTTTTATTATGGTGATCATAATGATATATTTATGCTTATTGACTCTGTGTTTATAATGATGAATAACAATTATAAATCATTAACTAACCAACTTTAGTATTTAATAATTATATAAAAATTTGTTAGATATCTTTAATTTAAATACTTATTATGTACCTATTTAATTCAGTAATATAGTAGTTGATTGATTGATTAATGAAGTCGTAATTACTGGAAGCCTACCTTAAATACTATGTTATGTGATATGTGTTCATGTTTATTATTAAGTGCCTTCATAAAAGTCCACATACTTCGATATTTTCCTTCTTGGATACTATTTTGTTATGTCATTACATTTAATGCAGTAATTAAAATTTTAAAACTTTAATTTGAATATAATAAGCATAATAATTTCCCACCTTTCAATCACCCGTTTGTTTATTATTCATACTTCAAATAGTTTTGTTTTTCAGTAACAATTATTATTATAAAATCTTTTAATTATTACTAGTATAGATACGAATTTTAAGAATTTTTTATAAACTTGGATGTTATTCATGATAGATTACATCGCTTAATAAAGCCTTTTAGAAATATGTATACTCGTATATCATATCATTTATATACATCATCCATGAAATAGTAATAAAATTTTAATTTAATTTAATTGCGATTCTATTATATCAATCAACGTATCAATTTAATAGAATACAGAAATCAAGACATTTATAGTCTGATTTATTATATATGAGCAATAAATAAAAGAAAATATAATTTCATATAAATTTCTACTCTAACTCTCTGTAAGCGTTGCCAATCTGATAAAGGCTGTGATTGACAAGTGAAAGAATTAAGTACATTCAATTTGAGTAAGAAATGAATAATATAAAAATTATGTGAATAAAATTTAAGCAGATAAAATATTACAATTCGCTTTTATAGATTTGAAAGATATGCAAAAAGAAATAGTGTTCATGTCTAGTAGATACTTTTAGAGATGCAAACTCTTGCGTTGTTATTGACTGAAATGCTTTAAAGTTTATACTGCGACAAGGTCGTAAACGCAGCTGTATATCTTCAGTAAAAAGCCTTCAACTTAGGTTTTTGTACAAAATTTACATAAATTCAATTAAATGGTGACTTAAAATCTTACTGCCAAGCGTTCAACTTACTTTGAATTATTATCCTTGGCACCTTCATATATTAAGGTTTCACTGCCATTCCCTCGCAAACCAATTGCGGATTGTATGCAAAATTAATATAAAAATTTAAATATCTGTAATTTATTATTTGCTTTTTTTGTGGTTATGTTTGAAGACTTGTGGAGACTTATGTTTTTATGGATCTGTCATATATGATTTTTTTTTCAGAGAAAATAGGCTTACACACCTACAGAAAATACATAAGCCAATTAAAAGCAAAAGTGTAATTTTGTGCAAACAGTTTTCACTTTTAATGCTGTCATAAAATTAATTGTGTGTGATGTAAAAAATTTATTTTCGGATTTGAAGATTTTGTAATTTTTTTTATTTTTATGAAGCTATCATAATAGATAAGCATTGCGCATATATGGAAAAATTATGACTTAAAACTAATAACCTGCAACATTTGATCTTGAAGTTGAGAGAAAATTGAAACTTTTTTCGAAAATGCTTTTGTGGATTACACCAAAATATTTATTTATTAAAGTAAAATATGTTAATTTAATAAAACATATTTTGAATACGTTTATTATATTCATGACCTGCTTATCGCAGACACGGAGTCTCCGTATTTTCTGAGGTGAAATATTTATACATTATGCTAGTAAACATCTTAACTCTGACATTTACTTGAAAAACGTTATTGCCAAAACCAATCGACATGTAAAAGAACACATGTTAAAATGTCTGAAGTGGAACCTGAACAATCCCATTATTCTCTTCTGTCTCTACTATAGAGTAACCAGTCATAATCTATCCTATGCAGCTATTGTTTGATAGAACAAGTCGTAACATATTGATACCATGGATTAATGCATTAATCTGCAAATATTTGCAAGTATTGTCATGACAGGCACTATAAGTTTCTGTTCCGCAAAAGTGATAAAGTCTGTAATGTAATTATCCCTCAATGAATGTTAGCGTAGCTAGACTACACTCTGTAGACAGAAAATTGATACAATCAAAATTCTATTTGTAGGCTGCTTACGACGTTGAGATCTGTGATAAGAAAGATCTTATGAACATGGAATTTTTCTTCGACAAAAAATTCGATGTACTTATTACCGATTTTATAGATTGAGAAAGTAGCACTCTTAAATAAAATAAACGAGGACCTCAACGCCAATATTTATGGACAATCTATTAAGTACCAATTAAAAAAATATTCTTGTGGAAGATTTTTTCGAAAAATTTGGCGGATTAACTTAATTTAGTTGGATAAACTTCAGTTCTATTGTCAAATAAGTTGGTGCACAATATAGATAAATACAAAATGATTGATTATATTAGAAAATAATCGCTATTTGGCAATACAGTCAATATATTCACCAGACTGGATATACACCAGAGCTGGTATATCCATACTACTATATTAAACGCGTATCTTCTCTCTCCGTTAAGGCTGGTAGTAGCTTATCTGACGAATTACTATAGCATGCATTGTCGTTTCAATAATATGGGTTTCACTGATGAGACAAAATTTAAGCTCTGCTTGGTGGCAGATAAGACTTCTTATCACATTTCTTGAGATCATCTGGTTTTGTTCTAGTTCGAGAAAGGTTACTGGGTGGGATATCCATATTCCTTTCTGATGTTTGGAAAACTTTAACAGATAATATTGTGGAGTTTGTTGTGTTCAGTTAGTGTTAGTTCGTTGAACTGCCATGACCGTGCTGCTACATTCTAGCGAAAGTTCGTACTTTGTTATATTAATTCTTATCTATATTTTAGTTTATTTAGTAGAACTTCTCCTATATTTTATTGTTGATTTAAATTTTAGTTTTTTTAGTTTTGAATTTTAATTTGTCTTCCATTTACTATAATTTTGTTATAAAAATTGATTTTTTTTTTAGTTATATCGATATATTTAAGCATTTATTTCTTTTACATAACTTTACTTGTCGGTTACAAAGTTTTGCCTGTATAAACGATTAAACCACATTCTTTGGATATCGAATTACTTGCAGGGCATTTCTCAAAATTCATCCTTGCAGGCCTGTCACTCACAAGTGACATTAATTTTTTTCACTGCACTTTTGAGTATTTTTTATGTGCTGGTTTGTCTCAAATTGTTTGTTTTTTTTAACTGTTTACTTAAAAATTATGCAAAAATTATCAAAATGAGTTCAACTTTTTCCACATCGAAGCCTTGAACTTTTTACAAAACTCAGTGCAAAAAATGCGTATTGATAAACTTAAGCAAATAACTACAAAAAACGTGTTTATTAAATTAAAAGTTATCTGCGTAAATAATTACGTTTACATTGCCAATTCATAAAAAGTGTAAAAATGTTAAAGACTTTAAAACAAAAAAAAAATTGAAAAAAAAATACTTAAAATTAAATACTGGCAGAGTTAACAATTTATGACCACACGCTGCGCCAATTAAGCCGAAATGAAGTTGCCTTATATGCACATTTAGCAAGTCTCCTCCATTTATACTTTTATTAACATTTTAATGCATTTTATTTCTCACATTTATTACTACAGAAATTTAACAAATTTTTGTTTTAACTGTAATTATTTTATTTGTCTTATGTATATATTTAATCTTCTCTCAAGGTTACCCACTTACAAATTACATAAATAAATCAGTAAAATAAAGAAACGTTGACAAAGAATTGTTGTTGTAGAGCAATTTTAATCAATACAAAATTTAAATAATGAAATAATATTAAGAGATATAATATATTTATATATATAAACTTGTAAAAATCTTGAAATCAATACATTTTGATTTCGAAGAAAATATTAATTGTCTCTCAACTGCAATATAAAATTACTACTTTACTTACACAATTACTCAGAGATATAGTCTGCTTTAAGATACATATCAATCTAATAATTCACAAAGATTTTAGATTTGGCGATAAAGGTATAATTTCTTTATTCTCACATACCGATGCTAAAGTATCTAGTTTCTTTATAAATCATGTATACCTTTAAACTGCGCTAGAAACTCTTCTGTTTGTGATCTACTGTGCGTAAACGTGGTACCCATTTTTAGATCTCCTTGACTATCATTATTTATTGAAAATTATATTATGGAATCAGCTATCTCAGCGAACTTTTGTTTTGCATTGTACGATGTAATTATTTTTATTGTTTCCTGAAGTGAGCATTGAATTCGGGTCTTTAGAGTATTCCGAGTAAGCGGTTAAACCCGAACTCAGTAACTGATCGACAAATGTAATTTTATATTTTTTTTATTGCTTTCTGAAGTGAGCATTAAATTCTGGCCTCTAGAGTATTTAGCTTTAGCGGTTATATCTAATCTCAGTAACTCACCGATAAATAGCTGATCCTGATATAGCAGATATTGAAGTATTTTTCACATGAGAAAGGTGTGGTTTATAAATTCACAAAACTAAGAATTTTCTATTATAGATAATAGCGTCACTTGGAAGGTTGTCACTTTCTAAACCTCTTATGGATTTTTTAATCATAGTGTTGTTTATTTCACATCCTACGAACTCATTAAGAGAGTTTTTAAAGAAAAAATTTTATATTCAGCATTTAAGATTTAAATTGTTGGAATTTCAGTGCTTCAATTCTTTAATATATGCAAGTGCTATACACTTATTCTTCAAGAACTTACTTTTACATATAGTAATATCTCATAAAAATGTTTCTTCTTCCATAAACTTCAGTACATGGTTCATTGTTTCGTAACACTAACTATCTGTAGGTAATAAAGTTGCCGATGTTTAGATTAACACAAGAAACTACTTTGCTATAACATTCATTTTAAATAATGTGAAATTCATATATTATGTATAATATATTCTATAATATATAAACAATGATGTATTTTTCAATTTAAAAATTAATTTAACTATTATTGCCACCACTGTATTATTTCATGATAATAGCAAATAAATATATATCTGCATCTGAAAATGAATTTTCTTCCCACATAGGTATGACAATATTTAAGCAATTAAGCAATGTTTATAATTACAACTAAATATATTTATGAACTTTTAAAACATACATAATTTAAATATTTAATTAACGTAAATTAAAACTGAATTAAATTTTATGCTCTCAATTTTAAAAGTCTAATGGCTCAATAAATAACATTTTACCGTCCTTTTTATAAACGCAAACATTTCTAATGGCAGAAACAAAGCCCATTACAGTGAATCACCCACAGCCTACTAATTTCGTTGGCTGAATAAAAATTGCAGAAAATAATTACTTCCCGATTAATTTATGCGATCTACACAATAAAATTGATCTACTCAGTTCAGATTATATTTTCAAACAATTTAATTATGAAGACAAAATTTTCAGCATTTTTATTTTAGAATTTTCTTCCGATCCTGCTACATTATTTAGAATGATACTACATAATCCGCCAAAAGTATTATTATTTGTTAATAAATCGAAGAATAGCTTTATTTGAAAAGTTTACAGAACTAATATAACTTCTTCACATGCGTTGTAAGGCTCAACAGACTTGAGGTTCCACAAAGTGTGGATTACATATTTCAGTTATTTGCTCAGCGCCTACCCACTGCGCTCTGTCGATGGAAAATTGCGCTGACTGTCAACCTTAGTGAGCCTGAATTTACGACATAACAATTAATTTCAGATAAAAAATTAAATTGGTTTTGCTTAATTTTCCGAAATAACAAGTTTCGTTCACTTTTCGCCAAAGGAAAGTTTGCAAATATGCAATTTTATGTACTTTTAATGCGGATCAGCGCAGCGAAAAAATTAAAAATTTTATTTGAAAAATATTTTTATATTCTTCCTGAATTTTTTGCATGTGGGTTGGCTTTTCCATTTAACATTATTATTCATTTATTAACTTTTCTAATCTTATTTGCCTCGAAAGTAAAATTTTCGATTAAAACATTATATTATTTTAAGAGTAAGATATTGATTTAAAATTCTTGACAAAATTGAAAGCATCTCTTTCACATAACTATTGTTATCCATACTGGTTACAGACATTTCATTATCTTAACCAATAGTTTTCACAGGTTTCAAGTATTTATTTCCATTTTATTCTATTATCGCTAAGTTATGTTATCTTTAAATGTGTTATATTTTTCATTCTATTCAGCTTCCATCATACTCTCTAACAAGCAATCTTCTCCTTGTCTATTTAGTTATCGTCATCCAATTGTTATCTAGCTTTCATAGGTTACAATATCATACTCAATATATAGTTCATGTTACTCTTAGTTGTATTTTATTTATATATAGAGTCATAAATGTATAGTATATTCTTCAAAGGGTTTTATAAATAAAAGTGGGCTTTATAATTTATTAGTAAATCTTAATTTTAATATTTCCATGCTAAACATTTTTTTTAATCTTTTGAGAGACGAATTATATATTAGTTGCTGAGTAATACAGTATTATCAGTACGATTTTATTATTGCATATGGGAGTATTCCGATTTCCATATGGGCTGTTGCTTGCTACAAGTAATTGTACATTTGTCATTGGAAGGAATTGTGCTTTGAATAAAGTTTGAGAAAGCTT